AATTCAGCAAAGTAGTAAGATACCTAAAGTTTTTCATTTCATAACAGTAATAACAAAATATCGAATGTAAGCTAATTCAGTCCAGTGTTTTTCCATATTTGGTATTACCTAATATAGTAATAATTTACATTGCATGACCGCGTATCGATATTCTAGAATTTAGTGATCTTTCTTAAAATTGATTGGCTATATAATTTTTAAAAGCGAAAAAAATTTAAGTTCAAAAAATACACTAAACAAAAATTTTTTTAGTATAGATTTCGTATGAGTTTCAGGTGGCATAAAGTGATATAAATGTATTAAAAATTTAATTTTATATATAGAAATTATGATTGCAAATGGCATAAAGAACCGGGTTCTGTTTTTCAAGTATCGCATCAATACGTTATTTCAATCACCTGCCTGTTATTTCAAATTTCATTGTTATTTCAAATTCAAAGGGTTTCTGTTTTAAAACCTACATTATATATGGGCGTTATTTCGAACTTCATTTCCATTTTTGTATAATGTATCGAATATTAATTTTGAAAGGGAAACCTGTTCTACACGATGATTTTCATCTGACCTTCTCCTTTCATTTAATTGGAATAGCACGTTTAAAGTGATAGCATGCTCAACGTGCTAATACGTCCATATGGTAGCTTTATATAATTATTTTTTTACCTTGGAAGGTTCGGGATAGTATGTTCAATGTGGAGGCTTAAAATCATCTAGCATTATTACGACTAACATGCTAGATAGCGCGTATAATGTGTAGCCTAATTAACTTAAATGTATATAAACGAAAGAATTTGACTTCAATAAAGGCAGAGTTTTCCTCTTTGTTTTACTCATAATACCAAAGGAAGTAAGCTGGTGTAAAGCTGAAAAAAACCAATTTTCGTATTTTTTTCCTTCTACATTTATTTTCCTCGTAACTATTAGAGTTAGATCGGTCTTGTTATTATAACTCTCCCAAATAATAGTTACGCTATGCTAATTTAGGAGTCACAATATTTGAGATAACTCCCATGTCTGTTATTTAGCAAATTAATAGTATATATGAGTGACGCCAAGAGGAAGCCAGACCTTGGGCTTTCAAGTTTATTTACCAGACCTAGCCTTGATTAAAAACATATATGATTTGAAAATAAATTTAATTACATACTATATGTGGTATAGTCAGGGCCAAGGCCAGTAAATAATAAACTCGAAGTCTGGTTTTTCTTTGCGTTTACTTCGCTTATATATCTTCGTAGATATTTGTGTTAAAGTCTAAAAGCTGCCGTTTAAAATACAATTATGGATGGTTAGTATTTTTAATTTAGTTTATTATTATTTAACTGTTACTTATATTTTTTTTCATTTTAAAAAAGTTGAAAATTCTGCGGATTTACTTTTGTCTACAGATAGTTAGTATTTTGCAAGTTAGTTTTATAATTTAACCATTATTTATATATTTTTTTTTCATTTTAAAAAAAAAGTTGAAGATTCTGAGGATTTACCTCCGACTTGTTTATTTTCTACACTTGTTCAAACTTATAAAGATACTAAACAATTAATTGAATGTGAAACTAAAGAACGTCAAAAAATTCAAAATGCAAATACAAATACTATTAGGGCCCGAATTAAATTATTTGAACCATATTTTCCTGAATTAAATGCTTTTCAAAATAAGTTAGAGAAACATATAATTTGTGAAAAGCACTATAATCAAATTTTTGTGAAAGATACTTATTTAAACTATTTAAAAAATGGATCGTCATATTATCCAAGAAAGCGAAGTCGCAATTTTAATACCTTAAATTTGAATGATATACAAATAGAACCTTCAACAACTATCGATATTGGAATTCAGGTAGAAGTAGATAATACGAATAGTGATCTTTTAATGCAAATCGGAATTTTAAAAAATTCTCTTAATGTTCTTGCAACCGAAAATTCTAAACAATCACAAATTATTGAAATTAAAAATAATAAAATTTATGAATTAGAATATGAATGCGAATATCTTAAAAAACAAATTGCCGATTTTAATCTTAGATTAGAAAGTTTAAATTTATATAAAAATAATGTAGAAATATTAACAAATGAAAAAAATAAATTAGAAAATGAAAATACATACTTAAAAGAACAATGGAATGAACGGTATAGTACTCAACAAAAGCGAATAACAGAAGTTGCTACAATAGCTTTATTAGAACGAAGGCTTCTATATGATGATATTATTTATTTAATTAATAATTATGATCGGTTTTCTTTAGAAAATTTATTAGTATATAATCCTTTAAATTGGCTTAAGTATCGTAATCCTGTAATAGTAAAATTTATCGAAGTACTTACTGATAATAATGATGAGCAATTATATCAAAAGAAAATTTTTAAATGTATAGTAGCTGTAGATGCTATTTATAAATCACGACATAGCAAATATGTCTCTGAAATAAATCTTGCTGCATCAGCGATTAAATATACTATTGCTCGATCAAAAACTATAATAGATATTGATAACCATATTACTAGTGGAGGAGGCTATACAAAATTTATTAATTGGATCGAAAGTTTAGCAATCGAGCCTAAGCCCTTACCAGATGGATTTTTAATTTTGGCCTTCGATAATGAACAAAAAGGCCAAAAAAACTATTTAGATCGAGGTTATAACACGGTTGTATTCCATACAGTAACTAGCTTTGTAGGCTTTAATTTTGATTCGAATAATGATTGCCAATTAAAAATTGATCCGTGGAAAAACAACTCACTTCTTGAAGATGATATCAAACAATTATTTTATTTAAACGATAATATGGAAAAAGTACTTGAAATAGAGCTTCTCGAATTTATTAATGAAATAATAAGTAATCTATATTCTGAAAAAAATCAAAAAGTAAATGAAATAGATAAACTAGTTGAAAAACAAAACAGCTTATCTAATAAAAATAAACAATGTTTAAATTGCTTCGAATCAGAAATTGATAATAAAAAGCGAAATTGTCCTAAATGTAATACTAAGTTACCAACGCTTGCTTCAATAAGTCAAGCTTCGTCTTTTCAACAAACCACATTACCTGAAAATATAGATAAAACGGTAGTGTTTAAACTATATGAACCTAAACAACCTAGTGTTAAAGTGCAAAGACCTAAAATTAGTATAACACAAAGAACTATAACAGATGAAGGAATAAAAATTCCAGATTTATACGTTCCTGACCCAATTCCTATCAATCCTAATTCTTTAATAAATGTTCAAAAAATTTTAGAGCATATCGAAATAAGTGCCCGAATTAAATCTGGAAAACGCAGATAGTTAGCTGTCGTATGTGATGGCGTACCGTATAATCAAGCACTAAAACTAAAAAAAAAATTTTCTTGGTTAATTCTACTTCCGGGCCCTTTACATGAGGAAATGAATATGCTTAAAGCATTTGTTGAACTAAATTGGTATAAATTAATATTAAAATATTTTAATTTACTAACTTACTTACTTTAAATTTTTTAATTTTTAAGGGATATAGATATAAAGATATTTGCTCGATGTCAAGGGTACCGAACAGATAATCAACTAGAATATTTTCGAAAATGTATTGACCACCATAAGGCATGGGACTCAATATGTAATATATATCGATATTCGATGGCATCAAAATTAATATGGCCATATGTTCTAAACCATAACAACCCAACGCCTAATGGATACTTAGAATGGGCTAAGGCACAAACTAGTGAAACATATAAATTAAAATTTGAACAGGTTAGATATTGGTTTAATTTTAACTTACAACATAAATAAGAACAAAAAAAAAACACAATCACAGTAGACTTTTACTTATCTTCAGGCTATTGTTAACTTTCGCACTGGAGTTCGAACCAACCAATCTTTATTACGAAACGCAGCCCGACGCCAATTTGCTCCAATTTGGTCAGCTAGGCGTCATCTGATTTACAAATTATTAGAAGTATCATATGAAGAAACTTTATTAAATTTAAAACCTCAAATTTGTGAAAATATTGAAAATTTCTCGGTATTATCTCGATCAGGGCTTCAAAATCAGCACCAAGGACTTGATGCTATAATAGAAGAGATTAATAAAGCCTTAAAATCCCTAATTCCTCCAGTACCATCGCAACATCACTGGGAAATTGCTGCAAGAAACTATGTAAATTTTTTAAAGGTAATTTAATAAATAGATATTACTGCATTAAATTAATTCTAACATTTAACTAAATTTAGCTACGTACTAACCTTTTTAATATTATTGGATATGAGGATAATGAGGATTCAGAACAATGAACTCGGCCTAATTCTTATATGGAACAACAACGTTTTCGTACATATCTAAGGAAAAAACAGTTCTTAAATCCAATAAAAATGAATAGTGCATTTACTAATTTAGACGGTGAAATTAATTTGAGTGAAGAAATAAAGTCATTTAGTGTACTCGCACAAGAAAAAAGACAAGTATTTATTAAACATACCTTAATGCAAAATACTAGTATTGATACTTGGCGAGCAATTCCAGTAACGGAGCAGGAGGCCGAAATAATGAAAAATGAAAGCACAATGAGAAAAGAAGAGCTTATTTCAGTTATCAATTCAATACTTATATCACTTCCTGAAACACAACGCTCGAAGTATACTAATTTAAAAAATAAGACAAAAACTATACTATTAACAATCTTGCAAGAAATACGAGGCTTAAATAATGCTGAAGATGCTATTGATGAAGAAAATGAAGATAAAGAGCTTATAGATGAAGAAATGATATAAAGAAATTAATGAATCATTAAATATATCTTATATTTGTTAATACCTTTTACAAATTACAAATTCGGTGCCAATTGGCTTTGAAATATATAATGGTCCTTTTTTTACTAAAGATTAATTATTAATATCTAAACGTCATTAACGACAAATGAAAATTTCATTATAAGAACCTTAAATATTTATTCACATACCTGAAGTTATTATTAAAAGTCGGTTATGAATCAAATTGCATAGAATTTCAAAAGGTACACTGACTACTTCTAAGTTCCCAAAATAATACGCCTAGACTATAAATGTCAGATCATTTATCATATTTAATCATTTGCTCATGTTCAGAACAGAGGCAGCTGCACTACTATGTTTACCTGAAACGATTCGTATTCCATATAGCCAAGTTGCTAAAAATTTACAAATATTTTGATTATCATCTAATCTATTAAAAGAAATCTACTCGATTACATCGATATAAAATATAGCTTTAAGTTGAAATTATTTAATGCAATTATCGATGTCCTTATCTACACTTGTCCACCCCCTGTGGCTCAATATATGCCAGTATATCTGCTATTTTATGCTCGAAGTAAAAAAGCCATTCAATTGTTTTTGATATGCCAAAGTCCAAGATTAAAAGCCCTATCATCATTTATCAAAACATTCTTGATTGTTAAAAATTTTGTAAGTAATTTAAAATTTAATTTAAAAATGGTTAGAAAGTAAAATTTAAAAAATAAACTTACAAGATTCTGATCAATAATATTTTATTGTGAAATAAATTAAGTTAATCCACTAGTAATTTCGTTCACAAGTTGAATAAGTTCTATCCACGAATCTTATAAAGACCTTTTTCTAAATGAGTTCGTAGACTGCCACTATTGTCAAATTGTAATAACGTACCAGCACGAAATTAGATGTGCTTTTTGTTCATTCTTCTACCACCAATAATTTAATTTTCTTTATTCTCTTTATGATACCAGATCCGGCCTAAGCTAAATCACATTCTAATGATTAATAAATATCTTACACTTAAAATTAATCAATAAAATAAACGTTTAGAGGCAAATTTAAGCCTTACACGACATAAAAATTTTAACCAGCTGCATATTTTTTTGAACAAGTACAACTTAAGTGGGTGGGTGGATTCTGTTGTAACCATAGTGGATTCTAAATCTGTAAGTCTTTAAATACTAACTTTAATATATGTTCGTAATCTTCAAATAAGAAAAAAAATCGTATCGATCGAATATCAATTTAAAAAAAATGAAGGTAAGATTTGCAAAAATAGCCAATCAGATTTATTTTTGCAGATAATCGATGATCTTCTAAATTCTAGAACAATTCTTTTATACTAAGCCAAATTTGGAAATACACCGGACTGTAATTGCTAGAAATTAAAAATTATAAGTTTTGAGCGAAAATATTTTGTAGAGTTCCAATCCAGATAGCGTTTATCCAAATAATTATCAGATATCCGGATAATTCAGATACGGATAAACGGATGATGGATTTATCCGGATACGACCCCTAATATTTTGAATAAAGAATTTGTAAAACCAATATACTAGCTGTTAATAAAGTAAGCGCAATGTATCTAAAAAATTGTGAAAAAAAGTAAATAAGAATTTAAACAATTTTCGATTAAAATTTCTTCTTCTTACGCATATTCAATTCCTTTATTATACTTAAGAACACCATTAGTTTGATCAAAAAGTTTGACTTTTGCCAACGCTATAATAAAAGGATTTAAGTACTGAATTGTCAACAAGTAGATATCTTATTTATTAGATCATTAATTGTTACCAAGTGATGGGCAAAGAAATGTGAGAATAAAAATTGGAATAAATAGTAATGCCAAGCAAATATTTCTTTTCACCCCTTCGGACATTTTTTAAATTTGACTTTATTTAATTGTCTCCATATATACCATACACAAACAAATATCGTTTAATTTTATTACTATACAATTAAAATTTACTTAATTTACTTAAAACAATTCGGCGAAAAATCCACTCTGAATTCTGGATTCATTGTAAATAAATTTAATCATTGCTTAATTTTTATTCTACAATATATAAAATTATCAATTGTTAATTTTATATAATTGAATAATAATAATTTAATTTAAAAAAATATTATATACTTACATATCTTTTTTTGCTATTATTGGTCAGTTATGTTTTGCTTTGTTATGCTGTTTAATATCATGTTCTCTCAAAAAAACATGATTACATATCTCGCAATAAAATGCTAATTTTGTCGGGAAAATAGCTTCTTTCATTTTGCATTTTATACATTTCATCAATTCATATTTGCATCTTGTGCAAATATATTGATTCTCATCACTAGAAATTAAGTGTACATTTTGTTCATAAAAGATACGAAGTAATTTTAAAAAACTGTCGATTTGGTTTTTCGAATATTCTTGCATGATGGAGTCTACAGCATGTAACCCTTAAAATTTACATGATTTAAATAATTTTAGACAATATTCAAATTTCTTTCAAAGTTACAATTGAAATTGTTTTTATTCAGTTAAAATAATCTATGAGAAACAGGACCCGATTTACTAACTCTTTCTGATGATCACTTGTACCAAAATCTTGCTAAAACAAAACTTAAATTTTCTTAAAACTGCTCTTTTTAACATATTTTTTTTATTAAATTTTATTGTTCTACACCCCAATCTACATATAGCTACCAAGTTTTATAGCTCTAAACCAATTTTCTAATTAAATTTAAAAATTCTTCGTTAAATAACTACA